ACCAGAGTTTACACATGGTAAGACCAGACGTACATGTAGGAAATGACCATGGACCAGAGTTTACACATGGTAAGACCAGACGTACATGTAGGAAATGACCATGGACCAGAGTTTAGACATGGTAAGACCAGACGCACATGTAGGAAATGACCATGGACCAGAGTTTACACATGGTAAGACCAGACGTACATGTAGGAAATGATCATGGACCAGAGTTTACACATGGTAAGACCAGACGTACATGTAGGAAATGACCATGGACCAGAGTTTACACATGGTAAGACCAGACGTACATGTAGGAAATGATCATGGACCAGAGTTTACACATGGTAAGACCAGACGTACATGTAGGAAATGATCATGGACCAGAGTTTACACATGGTAAGACCAGACGTACATGTAGGAGATGACCATGGACCAGAGTTTACACATGGTAAGACCAGACGTACATGTAGGAAATGACCATGGACCAGAGTTTACACATGGTAAGACCAGACGTACATGTAGGAAATGATCATGGACCAGAGTTTACACATGGTAAGACCAGACGTACATGTAGGAAATGACCATGGACCAGAGTTTACACATGGTAAGACCAGACGTACATGTAGGAAATGACCATGGACCAGAGTTTAAATGTCCTCTTACATAAATCATTCACGTCCTGGATCCTCGGGTTATTCTCATCAAACATCTCACGAGTGGATGGAAAGAAATATGTAAATCGAGACTGTTGTTTTCAGACATTTAACCTGCGTCTCCTGCGTCCCGCCTTTCACAACAGACAACTCCTGTTATTTGCACATATATAATGAAATGCACAGATAAACAAACCCCCAGCTCCATGTGTCTGTGTGAATCTGCTAACCCCGGCACACTTCAGACACACGCCTCAGATCCACGCGAGTCTGGCATTAGCTTTAGCATTAGCTTTAGCATTAACATCAGGAGCGGCGTTGGTATTTCAGCCGTGTCGCCGGGCCTTAATGCTGCAGTCGTTTTCCGGGTCGGTTCCGCCCCTTTGCATACTCTGAAATTACAGGCCGGCGAGCGGAGGTGCGGGAGACAGATTGAGATTAATCTTGTTTACAACCTTCGAGATTCCTCCGTGACGACTCCCGTTTATACCACTGAGCAAAAAGCAGCCAGAGTGAGAGAATGTTTTAAAGTTTGTGAAAGCGATTCGGGCTTTAATCAGTCATACAAGGACTATGCACATGCAGCTTATGCCTCTCTGGTCTCTCTCTGGTCTCTCTCTGGTCTCTCCCTCTGGTCTCTCTCTGGTCTCTCTCTGGTCTCTCTCTGGTCTCTCTCTGGTCTCTCTCTGGTCTCTCTCTGGTCTCTGTCTCTCTGGTCTCTCTCTGGTCTCTCTCTCTGGTCTCTCTCTGTTCTCTCCCTCTGGTCTCTCTCTGGTCTCTCTCTGGTCTCTCTCTGGTCTCTCCCTCTGGTCTCTCTCTGGTCTCTCTCTGGTCTCTCTCTGGTCTCTCCCTCTGGTCTCTCTCTGGTCTCTCTCTGGTCTCTCTCTGGTCTCTCCCTCTGGTCTCTCTCTGGTCTCTCTCTGGTCTCTCTCTGTTCTCTCTCTCTGGTCTCTCTCTCTGGTCTCGCTCTGGTCTCTCTCTCTGGTCTCTCTCTCCGGTCTCTCTCTCCGGTCTCTCTCTGGTCTCTCTCTCTGGTCTCGCTCTGCTCTCTCTCTGGTCTCTCTCTGGTCTCTCTCTGGTCTCTGTCTCTCTGGTCTCTCTCTGGTCTCTCTCTGGTCTCTCTCTCTGGTCTCTCTCTCTGGTCTCTCTCTGGTCTCTCTCTGGTCTCTCTCTGATCCTCTCTGGTCTCTCTCTGGTCTCTCTGTTCTCCCTCTCTGTTCTCTCTCTCTGGTCTCTCTCTCTGGTCTCTCTCTCTGGTCTCTCTCTGGTCTCTCTGTTCTCCCTCTCTGTTCTCTCTCTCTGGTCTCTCTCTCTGGTCTCTCTCTCCGGTCTCTCTCTCTGGTCTCTCTCTCTGGTCTCTCTCTGGTCTCTCTCTCTGGTCTCTCTCTGGTCTCTCTCTCTGGTCTCGCTCTGCTCTCTCTCTGGTCTCTCTCTGGTCTCTCTCTGGTCTCTCTCTCTGGTCTCTCTCTCCGGTCTCTCTCTCTGGTCTCTCTCTCTGGTCTCTCTCTGGTCTCTCTGTTCTCCCTCTCTGTTCTCTCTCTCTGGTCTCTCTCTCTGGTCTCTCTCTCCGGTCTCTCTCTCTGGTCTCTCTCTCTGGTCTCTCTCTGGTCTCTCTCTCTGGTCTCTCTCTGGTCTCTCTCTCTGGTCTCGCTCTGCTCTCTCTCTGGTCTCTCTCTGGTCTCTCTCTGGTCTCTCTCTCTGGTCTCTCTCTCCGGTCTCTCTCTCTGGTCTCTCTCTCTGGTCTCTCTCTGGTCTCTCTCTGCTCTCTCTCTCTGGTCTCTCTCTGGTCTCTCTCTCTGGTCTCTCTCTCCGGTCTCTCTCTCTGGTCTCTCTCTCTGGTCTCTCTCTGGTCTCTCTCTGTTCTCTCTCTCTGGTCTCTCTCTCTGGTCTCTCTCTCTGGTCTCTCTCTGGTCTCTCTCTGGTCTCTCTCTGTTCTCTCTCTCTGGTCTCTCTCTCTTCCCTCTGGTCTCTGAAACATCAAACATTAGTGAGTTGTGAAAATCCACCTCTAAACATTAACATTACAGATAAATCTTAAATAAAGTCACATTAACTGAAGCTGACGGGCATCGACTCTGACCCTGGACATAAAACAGACTAAAATACCATCAGTCACAGATTTGGACTCCTGCCACTGCACCATCGAACGCCCTGGTCCTGAGGCCTGAAGTTTAAATTTACTCTGAAAGAATCCACAGACGAACTCCTCAATTAGATCAGCTCCTTCTGGTCCCTGAGCTCCGGGTCAATGTATGAGGACATTATCAGCGTGAGTCAATCAGAGCTCACCGGGGTCTCGCTCGTCCATAAGTCTGAGTCCAGAACCAGATGGGAGGCGGCTCAGGGGCAGGAGGGGATCTCTGGTCTCTCTCTGGTCTCTCTCTGGTCTCTCTCTGGTCTCTCTCTGGTCTCTCTCTGGTCTCTCTATGGTCTCTCTCTGGTCTCTCTCTTCAGTCTCTCTCTGGTCTCTCTCTGGTCTCTCTCTTCAGTCTCTCTCTGATCTCTCTCTAGTCTCTCTCTCTGGTCTCTCTCTGGTCTCTTTTTTGTCTCTCTCTCTGGTGTCTCTCTGGTCTTTTTCTGGTCTCTCTCTGGTCTCTCTCTCAGGTCTCTCTCTGGTCTCTCTCTGGTCTCTCTCTCTGGTCTCTCTCTGGTCTCTCTCTGGTCTCTCTCTGGTCTCTCTCTAGTCTCTCTCTGGTCTCTCTCTGGTCTCTCTCTGGTCTCTCTCTGGTCTCTCTCTCAGGTCTCTCTCTGGTCTCTCTCTGGTCTCTCTCTGGTCTCTCTCTAGTCTCTCTCTAGTCTCTCTCTGGTCTCTCTCACTGGTCTCTCTCTGGTCTCTCTCTGGTCTCTCTCTGGTCTCTCTCTGGTCTCTCTCTGGTCTCTCTCTCCGGTCTCTCTCTGGTCTCTCTCTCTGGTCTCTCTCTGGTCTCTCTCTAGTCTCTCTCTAGTCTCTCTCTGGTCTCTCTCACTGGTCTCTCTCTGGTCTCTCTCTGGTCTCTCTCTGGTCTCTCTCTGGTCTCTCTTTTGTCTCTCTCTCAGGTCTCTCTCCAGTCTCTCTCTCAAAGCCTAAATCAGTTCAGATTACCATGGAGTTGTAGAAAAGGCTGTTTTGTCCTGCAGCAATCATTGTTCATAACAAAGATTGAAAGAATATATTTTTCCACAAAAAGTGCTTTCAGATTATTAAAAACATCGACCCAAAAACAGAGCCACAGAAAAACACTTCTTCACAGTTTCAGCACCTCTCCCTCAGTGTTGTGTAATGGTCTCTCTCTGGTCCCTGAGGTCTCTCTCTGGTCCCTCTGGTCTCTCTCTGGTCCCTCAGGTCTCTCTCTGGTCCCTCAGGTCTCTCTTTGGTCTCTCTCTGGTCCCTGAGGTCTCTCTCTGGTCCCTCTGGTCTCTCTCTGGTCCCTCAGGTCTCTCTTTGGTCTCTCTGGTCTCTCTCTGGTCTCTCTCTGGTCTCTCTCTGGTCTCTCTCTGGTCCCTCAGGTCTCTCTTTGGTCTCTCTCTCTGGTCTCTCTCTGGTCTCTCTCTGGTCTCTCTCTGGTCTCTCTCTGGCCTCTCTCTGGTCTCTCTCTGGTCTCCCTCAGGTCTCTCTTTGGTCTCTCTCTCTGGTCTCTCTCTGGTCTCGTCCTGGTACTCACGCCTCGGTCTTGTTGGACTGGCGCCTGCAGGGGACCGTGTTGCTGACGCAGGTCCCGGTCGTGGGGTCCACAGCCTCCACGATGACGAAGGGTCTCTCCTCCAGCGTGGCTACAGTCAGGTGTCTGTAGTCCGAGACCGGCTGCAGGTACGAGCCGAACCGAGGCCACACCGGGTACCGCACCTGCAGGATCCCCATCTCATAGGTGCCCACCTGGGGGGGAGGGGGAAGGGAGGAGAGGGGAGGGGAAGAGAGAGGGGAGGGGGAGGGGAGGGAGAGGAGAGGAGAGGAGAGGGAGAGGAGAGGAGAGGAGAGGAGAGGAGAGGAGAGGAGAGGGGAGGGGAGGGGAGGGAGAGGAGAGGAGAGGAGAGGAGAGGAGAGGGGAGGGGAGGGGAAAGGAGGAAAGGGGAGGTCAGAGGAGAGGGGAGGGGAGGGGGAGGGGAGGGAGAGGGGAGGGAGAGGGGAGGGGAGGGAGAGGAGAGGAGAGGGGGAGGGGAGGGAGAGGGGAGGGGGAGGGGAGGGAGGGAGAGGAGGGGAGGGGAGGGGAGGGGAGAGGAGAGGAGAGGGAGGGGAGGGAGAGGGGAGGGGAGGGAGAGGAGAGGGGAGGGGAGGGGAGGGGGGAGAGGGGAGGGGGAGGGGAGGGAGGGAGAGGGGAGGGGAGGGGAGGGGAGAGGAGAGTGGAGGGGAGGGGACGGATGCTCAGAAAGGAGAGGGGAGGGGGAATGGGCGGTCATACGGGGAGTGCGGGGCGGCCGCGGCGCGTGGCGCTGTTCGTGGCTTGTTGCGTCCCCTGGTCTGGTGCACGGTACCTTCAGGCGCTGCTGCGCGGAGACGCTGATTCCTATGGCGCTGGTCGGGGAGGAGGGGACGGGGCTAAGAGGGTGGGATGGGCCACGGTTGGGACAGGAGACTCGAGGTGGGGGAGGTGGGGCGAGATGGGGGGAGGGGGAGAGGTCAGGGCAACGAGGAGGGTCGTGGAGGAGGCGGGGGGAGGGGGGGGCGGGGTCGGGGGGGGGGAGGGGGACGGAGACGTGGTGGGGACAACTGCAATGGGCAGGGTGGGGGCAGGTAGGAGGATCGGTGGGTGGCTGCGGGTGGGGGGGGTGGAAGAGGGGTGTTGGGGTGGCTGGGCGGGTGGTGAGGGAGGGGGTGGAGGGCGGAGGGTGGCGGGGGGAGAGGGGAACGGGGGAGTGGTAGGGTGGAGGGGGCTGGACGCCCAGGGGCGGCTCCTGTCGCTCGCTCTCCCCTGCCTTCCGCTGCTCCGTACCCTCTGTTATTCTGGTCGCTTTCTCGGCGGCGAAGGGTCGGGGGCTGGCTGGCAGGTGAGGCGGTTTGGGTGGGTGGTCCGAAGGCAATAAAACAGCAGGAGGGGGGCGGGTGAGGGGAGGGACCGGGGGGCGGATCCGAGCGGGTGGGGGCGGGGGGAGAGTCTCTCATCTTTACGGGTGCGCTGGTCACGTGGTGGGGGTGGGGGCTGCGTAGGACTGTTATCTGGTCGGAGGCTCGCTTTTAGTCCTGTGTGTCCGGTGCGGGGCTCCGGGTCCGGAGGACGGGGGGATGAGGCTCGGGTCGTGTGGTGCTCCGCCCTCTCCCGGCATCGGCCGCTCAGGGGCAGGCGCCGCAGCCAACACATCTCAATGGCAGGTGAGCCCGTGTGTTCACACGCATGGGCCAGACTGCCTAACCCCCTACGCAGCACTTCCTGACTACTTCGCATACTCCGCCGCCATGAGGGTGCACATCTGTTCACTCGTGGGCAAGCCCGGGTGGGTGCGTGCGGTTCGGGGTAGTTCAGGCTGCGTACTTTTCCGGGGCGCTCTACACGGCTCCCCGCCGGGGCTCTACCCGGCGGTCATCCTTATGTGTTGTGACTAGAGTGTTGGGCGCGCTCTGCCGCCCTGCCGAGTGACCGGCCACAAGGGAGCGGAACAGAGACAATCCAGGGGTTCCGTACACCGCCGTATGAACCGCTTACGAGACGGGTGAACCCTATCACGCGGGGGGAATGTAGTGGGTGCGGGTGGGTTAGGGCGCACTCGGGAGGGGTGTCGGCGGGGGGCGGGGGGGTGCGGGTGGAGGGGGCTGGGGAGTGCTTTGGGTGGGGGG